TTTTCTCAGAACTGGGGATTGAACTCAGATCCTTGCATTTGCCAGTCAAGCGCTTATCCTACTGAGCCATCTCCCCAGCTCCTTGCCCCTGTTTCTTATTCCTCTTTCTCCTTTTCCTCTTTTTCTTTTCTATTTTGGAGGAACCAAACTTGTGTTCTTTAGCATAGATAAATTCTAAGAGGAAAACTAGAAAATTATAGACACTTAAATTGAGCTAATGCATTATTAGTAATACAGAAAGGGTTCTTCACACATTGGAGAATTTCTTCACAGTTTGGGGGCTCAGAATTTGATTCATAGATGTGATTGTGATGTAATGTTTACTCTGCTCCTGGCACTGTCTGTAAAGGTTCAAAATCAATTATATGAACAAGTGCATAATCATGCCTTCGGTTCTATTGTGCATGTTTTTATCAGGGCAAAATCCAGTTTTTTAAACCATGCCACCAAAATATTTTTAGGGTACAGACTTTAGGCACCAGCATGAGTGACTGGCTAGGAGCACGTGGCTTAAGCTGCTCTTTACTTTATAGTAGGTCAAGGAATCTCAGTTTATTGGAATACAATGGAGTTGCTACTGGAACTGGTAGAAATAATTCTGTCTCAGTGGAGGAAACACTCCTATGTGTATAATCTAAGACCACTTGTGCATATGAGCTGGGATGCCAGGACACTGTGGGTGCTGCACAAGGATGCAGTTACTGTGATGCCCATACCACCCTAGGATGCACCATAGAATGCCCTGAGCATTAGGTATGTACAAAGCTCACTGCTTGAGAATCTTACAAAGGCTGACTTCACTTGTTCTGTGGTAGCTCCAATTGTATGAGTCACTCAGCTCTTCCAAGTGCTTGTTTTAGAGTAACTACCCTAAAAAATGGAAGGTACAATTCACCTAGTACATTCTATGGGCTAGGATCTGTGATCAGGTTAGGTACAACAGGAAGGTAAACAATTACTTTTTGAATTTCCAATTTAAAAGATGAGCAATTTCTCATGAAGAGCACACTTTCGCTCACACAAGATGTGAAACCTTTTAGATGATAGAAAAAAAATAAGAATGAAGATGTTAAATAGTTTAATTTAGATACAATGTAAATATGAATCTAAATTATATATATATATATCACAAACAACTTTTAATAGTCAATTTAAAAATAAAATGCACTTTAGAAAAGAAAACAGGAATAGCAGAACTAGAACAAAAAAAACCCATGAGAACAGAAAGATACAGTAGTGTGGGTCACCTGCTGAGCTCCACATAAAATCTCCATGTCACCACTAAAGTGTGCAGCAAGTCTGAATCTTCTGAATCACAGTAGCGTCATCTACCAAGAACAATGACAGGGCAGCCCCTTTTTCACCCAGAGTGGGCAGTGTCGTCATCCCAGTCTGTCATATAGCCAGTCACATCTTCACACCTAAACCTTGCGCTGGGCCAGCCTTTAAGGGGATTCCCATCTTTCCATGAAGATTTCTCTGCTTCCCATGAGCAAAAGTAAAGAGTGGTGTTTCTATGCACTAAATCCTTCTTACCTGATGTAGGATAATTATTTGTGGATATTATGTAGCCCAAGTCACCAAGTTCCTAAAAAAAGGAGGAGCTGGTCATCATTAAGCTCCCCCTTAGTACCTGTCCCTGCCCCCCCCCATGCAAGTAAGCAAGTGGTTGGCACAAAATGCACCCTACACAAGGCTGACTGGGAGATACCATCCCTGACTCTTGTCTGCTCCATCCTACTCAGTGCCTGAAGTTATTTAGCCAGCTCACTGTGACATGCAAAGGAAAAGCAAGCTCTTAAAGGGCTCTTCAGCATTAGAGCAGCACTGTGGCCCACATTCCTCAGTGAACTGCTTGGCTGGCCCAGTTGAGGCAGAGATAGGTATCTGAAGGTCAGAGAGATAGTGGAGTGAGAAAGAACAGTGCCACTAGTTTCTCTTTCTGAAGTTGAGGAAAAGTGCAGTTCTGGAGCTCTTCTATCAGAAGCTGAATCTCAGGCAGCCCCTGCCTCCTCCACCTTTTATTCCCTGCCCATGGTCAAGGCCCTCCCAGTGCTCAGTGTGCCTCCACCTTCCCCTTTCACCCTGGGGCTTGAGAGGCAGAAGTTCTGGCCTGCTGTTGCCCCAGATGCTGTGTGCTGCCAGATGAGATTGTTTCCTTAGGATCAGAGTATCCTTCCTGGAAACCCTCTTCTCAGAGAGCAGCTTCATTCTCAGTTCTGTGATCAGAGTGGAAAGAGGCAGACTCAGGACCACGTGAATTTGAGTCACTCCTGCCCGACATCTGCTGTTACCATGATGTCCGTTCCTTCTCTGTGCTGTTTAAACCTGCCCTCGCTCCTCCTGCAAAGTGGAGGGTTGGTACCCATCCAGCAGAATTAGAGTGAGATGCTCTAGGCAAAACTTTAAATGTGCCATTTGGCAACAGTGAATAGGCCCTGGACCACAGAACGAAAATGGGGAAGGTTGGAAGTCTGACCTTGGAAACAGCTTATACATCCATCAACAGATGGTTGGATAAAGAAATCATGGCTTTTACACACAATGATAAACAGGAGTCATTGGTAGGAAAATGGGTTGCACCTCAAGACCATCATACTATGTGAAGTAAATCAGACACAGGTTAAGTATTGCATAGTGTCTCTTTTATGAGAAACCAATTTGAAAGAAAAGATAGAAAATAGGAAACAGGGCAATAGATCTCAAATGGTAAGGGGCTAAGAGTTGGAAAGGGAAGAAGGAAAGAGGATGAAGAAAGAATTAAGGTGAATGGTGTACATGTACCAGTCCCCAAGACGACATGGTCCTAACATAGTGGAAATATGGTTTAAGAAAAGAAAATGTTAGAAGGGGAGAGGGGGAGACCCATTCCTGCCCAGACAGAAACTCTGCTGCCCACTGGGCCACTCTCTCGCCATCTGATGGACTGAAGTCAGCAGACAGTGGCTAGGTCATACTTGTTTTTTTCTATTAAAAAAAAAAAAAACTTAAGTTTTAATTTTTATCAGTACCTATTCGCAGTGCCTGCCGACCACACCCCTCCCGGGTGCGGGTACAGGTGCACTCACACCTGATCCTTGCTACCTGTTCCCTGCTCCCCATCTCTGGGTTCCTTTCCCCTGGTCCGGGCGACCCTCTTTCTACCTCTGCCTCTGCCTCTACCCTGGGTCTCAGCTAGCGTCCTCTGCCCGCCTCCCGGCCCAGCCCAGCCGCGGAGTGGGGGCGGTACCCACGTCACTCACGGGAGGCCCGGCCCGCCCTGTGCCCGGCCCGCCCAACCTGACCCGCCGGCCCGCCCTATAAAGCACAGGTGCCGGAGGAGAGGAGGCCAGTAGCTTCCAGCCGACCAGGGCACCAGGGACCTGGGACTACGGCACCAGAGACCAAGGACCAGGGATCCATGTCACCCGCGCTGCTGCTTTTGCTGCTTGTCCTCGGCTCAGGTGAGCACCGCGGAAAGGAAAGAGGGAGGGGACGGGACAGGGACAGGACAGGGATGGTGCCGGTCCCGAGGGCTTGGTTCCTCCCACGCGTGGAGCTGCGCTGTTGCTGGCGCCTTCACCAGCACAGAGCGGATCCCGGAGTCTCGAGCTCCTCCCGGAGCTCCCTGTCCTGTCTGAGCCTTCCAGACTTTTTCTGGGGGCTGTGTCGCCATCTCCGAGGACACATGGCCAGTGAGGGGTGAACACACCCCTCCGATGCTGCTTTATTGAAACTTAAAAATAAAGAGGAGTCCTGAAACTCGGTGCAAAATCCTACCTGGTGTTCAAGTTTCTTCTATGGAGTAATAATGAGGGAGGAAGGACAGTGACAATCTTTCTCAGAGGCAAGCTTCCCCCTTCTGTCCACACATCCCGTTAAGTATGCGAGCCCAAGGAGAGGAAGTCTGATCTACCTGACTCCTCCTCGGACGGCAGCCAGCGCCTTTTCAGGAACAGGAAAGCCTGTGGACCAGGACACCGGGAACACCGCCTGCCAAGCCAGTCCCCTGGCTTAGCTCAGCAGGGTTTGTACTTGTAGAAATTAACATAGACCGTGGGAAGGCATCGGATCAGAGCAGCTCTGTCACCGGGGCACCTGAGTTTCTTCTTGACGGAGTGCAAAGCCGCTTTCCTGAGTGACTCAGCCACCAGTGAGGGCAGAAAGCAGCCTGCCTGGATCCGGACACAGCCCTTCTGCAGCAGCTGCCTGGTGGGAGGCCACTTCATCTTGTCCCCTTCCTCCCCTGCAGGATATTATGTCGCTGGGCTGGATCGCAATGGCACAGACTTTAGAAAAGGTGGGCTGTTGTTGCCCGGGACCCACAGCAATGGGGACTTCCAGGTTACCACAAGGAGTGAGGTGCTGTCCCCTGCCAGTGCCACGCCTTCAGCCAATGAGCCACCCTTGGGAGCTGAGGAGGACTATTCAGAAGAAGATGATGCAGAGCCAGGCACTGTGGGCTACATCGTGGATGACTCCGTCAGAGGTGAGCAGAGGCTAAGGGCACTCAGAGCTGTGAGAGGGAGTCCTTAGGGCCAATGCAAGGCTTGGAAGAAGGTAGCTCCCCAGAGCTGCTGGTGCATGAGCACTGCACACCCACCCTTAGGTAAACTGAGTCAGAGGAGCTTTGTGTGCTCCATTCTGCATGCCTATAGCCTAACCAGTGCATTATGTTGAACCCTACGGCTCACAATTTTGTTCAGTAGGAACTGTGATTCCCATTTGTCGGATGCAATCACTGAAGCTCTAGGATTTCATCCTAGCCAAGGTCACAAGGGTAGCAAGCAGCTGAGCGAGAATTGGAGCCTGAATTGGTCCCAGATGCAGCGACCTTTCTGCAATGCCCCACACCCTTCCTGAGAGTCAGGAAGTTCAGCCAGTCCTGGGTGCTGTATCTCAGTGTGTGTGTTCCCTCCCCACTCACCAGCACCACCCTTCTGTGAATAACTGCATTTTAACATGAGGAACCAGTAGGCAAGGAGAGGACAGGAGGAAGTAGACCTTTTGCTTTTAAATAGTAGGTATCGAGAAAGTGCTGAAAGCAACAGTGATACCTACTAGAAATGGTGAAGAAGAAAGTTGTGCATATAAACTTACTATTGCTAAAATCATGGCTTAAACCCAAATCTTATTTGTTAGCTAAAAAGCAGTGATTTATAGCTCCCTTACCTTTTTCATTAGCTGGTTTTCCTTTGCTTAGAATGAAGTACATACAAAAGAAAGGGGTGAGGTTGTTACCCTCACATCACTCTGCAGTGTGAGGGGAGAAGAGGGCCACTGTGAGTCAGAGCTAATATGCTGGAAGCATCTGCTGAAGCAGAGCAAAGTGGTCTCAGGATCTGATTCTCCTCTGGGGACTTCTAATAGGAAAAAGGGTTGTGGGCACCATCCATGGTGATGGCTGGGGGCAGTGGCGGGCAGGAAAGCTTCTATGAACTCTCCACCCACTTGCTTCTGAGCTGGGCTCTGTGTGCTGAGGAAGAGGGTCCACCTGTAATTCCTGTGATCGAGTCATGACATCAGACTGTCACAAATGGATAGCAACTGGTCTCCCAAGGATAGTTGGAATTGTTGATGCTTCAGAAGATCAGATACATTACTATCAGGGCAAAGAGCTAGTGCTCAGAACTGCAGCACATTATAAACTAGCCTGAGACCATTGGCTGATCTCCTCTGAATGGCCGCTCATGTAAATGCCCAGGGATGAATGCCTGTTGCAACACCTTGGCATGGTGACTAGTGTTTGACTCTGTCATTTGTAATCTATCTGATAAAGTTCAGTGACACACATTTACAATGTTACTTGTAGAGGACTTATCCTAACTTGTGCTTTTTTAATCACAGCAAAGTCTCAGCATAAAAATTGCATACCACCCACTAAAATGACTATTAATTTGACTTTTGTGAATGATATAATAATCTGCTAAAAGTTTTGTCATTTTCTCAGTCATGAGGTTTCTATCTTTGATGACCTGGTTAATCTTCACTACATTTTTTGATGTTTTTTTCTTGAGTGCTGGATGACCTTATGACTAATGGTATTTTCTCTTTTTGCTGAACTCTGTTTGCTAAATACTTGACCAAATAAACCTATTAAGGGATTAGCATAATGAAAAGCACAGCACTGAAAAGCACAGCACCAGATGGAAACCTTCCCTCACCAGGTTTAGTGCATGACTAAGCCACACTTTGCATAACCAGAAGGCTGAACATTTCTGGAGATTTGGTAACTTAAAAAATTTATGCATACATCAAGCACAAAATCAGTAGGCTATTTGCAAACAGATTGAATTCAAAAATTAGTCCACTGTCAAGTAGCAATCCATTATAATCTATTGCAATCTGAGAGCTGGAAAAATTGATTAAAATATACTTCTCACTTTTTTTCTACCTTCCCTCAAGGAGTGCCCACCAATTCCCAAGTGTGAGAGCAAACACAAGGATGCTATGGGGGTGCAAAATCGACCAGTACCATGGCCACTGTAATCAGTGACATCAGGCTTTGAAGTCCAAACATAGCATGAAAGGGTCTTGACATCCAGGCACTCAGGTTCTACTGCTCGTCCTAGAACAAGTTACTTTTCTTTACTGAATTTCAGTCGCCTCCTCCATATCATGTGGCTAATGGTGCACACAACCATGACTGTTAGTAGGAACTTGTAGGTCTCAGAAATTCAAGTAATACTTAAAATGTTTAAACTTTTCTCAAAGATAACTTTTGTTAGCAATAACAATGATGGTAATTATACAAATCAATTAAAATATGTGCATAAACAAATGAAAGAATAAGCAGTATGGGCTCTTCGCTGCCACGCTGCACAGCTGTTCCCACCTACCTCGTGGGTGTGCATCAGGTGAGCTGCATCTCCAGGGCTCATTCTGCTGCGGCTTCATGGGCTCCTATCGCCCAAATTCTATTCTAGGTGATAATAACAGTTGTCAAGAAATCTTCCCATTTTTCAGTTGAACAGGTAGTGAAACCCAAGAAGAACAAGACAGAAAGTGAAAAGACTTCAGATAAACCCAAAAGAAAGAAAAAGGGCAACAAAAATGGAAAAAGTAGAAGAAACAAGAAGAAGAAAAATCCCTGTGCTGCAGAGTTTCAAAACTTCTGTATTCATGGAGAATGCAAATACCTAGAGAACATGGATAGAGTGACCTGCCAGTAAGTACTTATAGTTCTGTACTATTCTGTGTCTCCTACCCCACATCTGAAATTCTGAACTTCAGAAAGCTATTGATTTTTATAATGCATACACCAAGGGTCAGCTGGGAGTGGTGCTGTACACCCAGTGTGTAGGAGGCTGAGGCAGGAGGATTGCTGAGAGTTCCAGGCCAGCCTGAGCTATATAGTGAACTCAAGTCAAGCCTGAACTGCACAATGAGACCCTTTCTCAAAAGCAAGCCAAAACACCCACCCCCAACAAAACAAAAACCCTCAAGAGTCAGTAAATGTCTCTTTAAAGGATCAGGTAGTAAACACTAAACATTTAGACTTTGTAGGCCAAGGTCATGCATTACTTACAGAGACAATTGAGATGTAGTTATTTAAAAATATAAAATCGGTTCCTAGCTTGCAGGTTGTAAAATTAACAGAAAGGCAATTGGCTAGATTTTATGAGTGGCTTTATTTTGCTGACCCTCAGTATAAACCACTTTATAAAATATATTTTTCTTTAAATCCTCCTTTTTTGGGGCTGAGTAGGTAGCTTGGCAGCATAAGTGCCTGCCTGGCAAGTGCAAATTTCCAAGTTTGATCCCTACTGCCACACGGCATGCTGGCTCCAAAACCAAGCGTGGTGCTCACGCTTGTAATCCCAGCACTGTGGAGGCTGAGACAGGAGGATCACTAGGAGTCTGAACTGTATATGAGACCCTGTATAAAATTAAAAAATGAAAATTATAAAACCCTCCGTTTTATAAAAGTATTTTTTGAAGTACTTTGCATACAATCTTTCAAGTTTTCTACCCCCAGCAAAGCATCCACACATGATGTGAAGGGATTGTACTAAGTGAGTAGCAGGTTGTGGAGGGCAGCACTTGGTCCCTGAAGACTGGGAAGGTGGGTTTTCTCAGGATATCCCACCCACACCAAAGTCAACAGATCTTTAGCTCAAACACAAATTTAGTTCAGAATGCAAGTAGCTGGGGTGACACTGTTTTAATGTTGGAATTAAATGGCTGCTTTTGACCTACAAAGTAAACTTGAACCTCTAAAATGTATTTGGTTTTTTTTTAAATTTTGAAACCTGGGCTGTTTACAGATGTGATCAGGATTACTTTGGTGAACGGTGTGGAGAAAAATCCATGAAGACTCACAGGATCGCTGGCCATGACTTGTCCAAAATCGCCTTGGCGGCCATCACTGCTTTTGTCTCTGCCGTGAGCCTTACAGCCATCGCGGTGGTGGTCACAGCCCAGTAAGTGTGCCCTGCCCTGAACACCCCAAGGAAAGGAAAGGGCTAGTGTTTCCCAGACCCACCACATTCTTCTATTGCACCTACAAGAGTTAGTCTCCAGATGGCACAGTCTCAGAAAGAATGTGTTCAAAATTCATTTTACCTTGGCCACCACTGAAATTTATTATGTAAAGCTCTTGTTTTCCTAACTAGAAATTTTTTAAACTTAAAAATGTATTCCTTGTTCCTGCCAATGTTTTTTCCCCAAGTCTCCGAGAGGGCTGCTTGTTATTCTTGAATATTCTCAGCCTCAGCTTGTCTCCAGAAACTGAGGACTGATCCACAACAGGTTCGTAGCATCCAGCACAGCGCTTTGGCATAAAAATCCCAGAGAATTCCAAATCAGCAGCCAAGACAAGACTGTCGCTACTCATATTACCAAGCAAAAGTTCTGAGTTGGGAACTTCATAGCATCCTACTTCCATGAAGCTTGGGCCTATTTTGTTATGATCAACTAAGTAATATAGGAACCTATTAAAAAACAAAAGCAATCATTTCCTCTACACGCTGGGCTGTAGGAAGCAAGAACAATTCTGTGACTATTGCACCTTGGCAGTTTCTACCTGTGCTGGGAACAGCATACCACTTACTCACTCGTGCCCAGTGAATGCCGGCACTGGGCTGTGCTAGGTGGTGGGCAGGATCGGTGCCTCAGGATGGCATTGTCCGCCCAACAGCAGCCACTTGGTAAGGGGAGCTGGGGGAGGCCTGAGCAGCGCCCAAATGACTCATGTGTCGCCTGGAGCTTGGGAAAAGCAGTGGACTCCTCTTCTAATTTTAGGTCTTGGAAAATTACTTTAACAACTGGATTGTGTATGTGATCTATGACTACTGACTTCAGGAAAGAAGGTGTTATCTTCTAATATTGTTTACTGCTATCTTAAATTCTAATCAAGTAGTGATAAAATGACACATAAAGCTCTTTTATCCTGCACATGAAGTGTGATATGCAGCTTGAATTTGTCTTGCACACTGTGGAATTTACTCTGTTCTTCTATTCCTCAAGCCAGATCATGCAAATGTATTTAAGAAAGATGCAGAAAAATCATTATCATCTGACATAGAAGGATAGAAGAAAACTTGCTATTTAAGCATGATGTTTTGCCATAATTAAGCCTCTAATTATTCAGTTTGCAATAGTTAATAATCCTTCAGAGAGGCAAAGCCACGCTGTCCTGCTGGAGCTCTTCTCCTTTCTTCCCCCAGTCTCCTCAAGTCTGAAACAAAAGACTAAGTCTAAGTGATAGTTGTCCTTTTTTCCATAATTATTATTATTATTTATTTATTTTTTGCAGAACCGGGGATTGAACTCAGGCCCTTGCGTTTGCCAGGGAAGCACTTTTTCCACTGAGCCATCTCCCCGGCCCAATTTTTTCCCATAATTAAAGCAATTTTTTTTCTTAAAAACATTAAGCCAACAAAAGTTCCTGTGATTTTAATGATATTGTTTAGTAGCTTGACTAAAGACGCAGTAAACATAAAATTGCTCACACAACACCAAGAAAGTTCCAAACCACTTAGGTTTTAAAGAGAGTAGAAAGAAATAAACCTGGAAAGAAATATTTATTATAGGTAAATAAATGTTTTCCAAATTGTCTTCTAAGCCACTTTTTAAAAATTTCTGATCGTTTATATTCATTTGTGCCATAATGCTCCAAAGTCTGCTCCTCCTGTGCTCCAGACGTGAGTGCGTTCCACGCCTTCCCAGTCCTTGCATGGCGGAGACACAGTCCAGGCTCATTTCTCTGGAAATGTGTTGATTTATTTATTTATTTATTTATTTATTTATTTATATTTATTTTTTGGTGGAACTGGGGATTGAACTCAGGTCCTTGCGCTTGCCAGGGAAGTGCTTATTCCACTGAGCCATCTCCCCGGCCCCAATGTGTTGATTTAAAGGCAACATTGCTAAATACTTCAGAGCAGGTTTCAGGCTTGGGTTGAGCACGAGGTACCGTGCTTGTCTATATGAGCGCAAGAGAAAGAACTTCTGGTATTCGTGGAAACACTGACTAACCTACAGATGGAGAGAACTGAAATGACACTGGTGTGTCTTTTCTCCCAAGGATTCGGAAGCGATACTTCAGGGAATATGCAGGTGAAGAAGAACAAAAGAAACTGCGACAAGAAAATGGCACTGCACACGGCATGGCGTAACCGAGCACAATGCAGGTTTGACTTTCGAGACGCGTCTATCGAGTGTGCCCCATAATGCTCAGGCTATACCATGATCATCTTAAGAAGATAAGGAATGTGGTCCTGATGATAGAGTCACCAGGAACAAGGAGTGAAGCATTGCGCTCTGAATATGAGATTGAATTCGATGTTGAGAAGGGGCTGTGTATTAATTCACTGTGTTGGTGAGATGTAGTTCTTGTGCTCAAGGAGCTACTATTTAGCAGACAGGAAAATAAATAGAAAATCAGATTACAAGGGGAAGTAAAGTGAGTGTCACCCCATGGAGAGTGCCCTGATTCAGACGCAGGTTGGGAGAGAAGGGTGCAAGGCCGGGTGGAGCTCATCCACTGCCAGCCCTGGTCAGGGAAACTGAAGGCTGGAGGATCCTTTGGGGACAAGAAGTAGTGAGCAGAGGGGTACAGATTTGGGAGAGAATTGGTAGGAATATATAGTTTTATTCGTTTATTTATTTTGTAAAGATAGAGAGCTGTAGAGTTGAAAGTATAGAACATGTTCTTACTTAGCATGTACAAGGTCCTGGGTTCAACTCTCAGCGCTAAATAGAGAAATGAATGAATTGACAAATAAGGGAGAGCTAAGAATGCTTTAGGTAGAATGTAAGAAGCTATGAAGAAGGATATTTTGTTAATGATAAAAGTCAGGAGCTCATGGAGAGAACTTCGGAGGAAGAAGGAAGAAGGAAATCGAGACACATTTAGAGCTGGTTAGAAGAACTTTATTTCCTCAAACGTTCAGGAAAGGTGATACCACTCTTAAGCCACTGATTTTTCCTGGTCTTAGTGGACTAAGAGTTACTTGAGGTGCTTGTTAGATATGCATACTCCTATGGCCAACCCTAAGTCCCCTGGAAGAGAATTGCTTTAGTGAGTGCTCCTGATGGTTCTAGCACTTGGAGAACCATAACAGTTAGCAGTGGTTATGTGCTGTAAACTATGTCCTGAGACTGTTAGAGATGAAGTCTCACAGTTCAGGAAATAGACCATTGTTCATACCAGTGTCACACTCAGGATCCGTCACACCAACCACTTTTTACTGTCTTGGCTTACTTTGTAAACGTCAAAGCCACTAGCTTAAGTAAGGGAGGATTTTTGTTGCTGTTGTTACTTAGTGTCCTTATGGAATATGCTGTGCTGGCACACAGTGGCTGCCTATTAACTGGAAGCGGCTATTATTAGGCCCTTGGTACTAATTATCCTAAATTAACCATACATCATAAAACATTAAGCTGCCTAGCCTTTGTTTTTAATTATGTCCACTCTGGACATTTAGTTAGGAAAACTGTTTTTCATTACTGCTGTTGCTTTTTTAAAAAAGCAGAATTTCATGTAAGTGGTGCAAGCATTTGTAGTTGTCTACCTAGAAAGGCGAATAGCATGGGGAGAAATGAAAGAGGGATTCAACCCACAGCCACAGGCTGTCTTTGCAAAGGTCTTCTCATCTTTTTCATAAGAAATCCTAGGAAAAATTGGACAGAAATTCTGGTTCCTGATTATTCTTTGGAATTTTCTGAGCACTGTGTTGGGGTTGAGCTCATCTGTGACTCTCTTCTTACAGGACATCAGGCCGGAGTCATCGCCACCTTCTCGGAGTAAATGATGAGCTGGTCTCCTTTCAGTGAAGAAAAGTGAAACTGTTGGTGTTTTTTTTTTTTTTTCACTTTTTGTGCTAAGTCTTATTTCTGT